AAAATTTAGGGTATAGGGTATGCTACATAGAAGTTTTACTGTAATGAAATTTTCAATTGCATGTTGACTCGTCTTGCACACGAACATAGACATCTTTTTCTAAGTTAGGGAAACACTTGGTGCTTTGCCACGATAATTCACCATTTCGGAGGCCGAGAAGACTCATAGAGATATTTTAACCTCCCTTTGGCCACCATCATGCAATTCACCAACGCCAGGAATCGAACTTAGGTGTCGTATGAAATATGAGCCTGAAAGTCATCATCAACAACTAGGTCACCCCGTGATGGTTGCAAACGTATACATTGAATATGTTGGAGTTTTGAGCTCCTTTAGTTCCACATCGGGGAACTTCAAGGGAACTTGAGGTCCTTATATTAGGTTAGTCACTTTTATTAGTGATTAGGTATTTGACCATTTGGAATGAGGATTGAGGTTTGGGCCACTAATTGTGTTGATTGGGTTTGATGATTATAGCATAATATTAATATTAATTAATCAAGACAAGGGCCTTGGGGGCACTTGGGGCCTAAGAAGTTAAAATTGATCAGAGTTCATTAATTTTAATTTCGAATTAAGTTTTTAATTAAAAACATTTTGATTAATAGACACAACTATTTGGAAAGAGTTGTGTGGTTTCAGATACATCCAAAAAGTATTTAAAGAGGTAGGAAAGAGCCTATATAACTGAAGCCTTGGTTCCATCGTATATCATCTTTTCTTTTTCCCATTTCTCCCATATAAAACCTTAGAGAGAGTAAACACAAAAATTAATTCGCTAGAATTCTATAATCCAGTGTGGGTTGTAGAATTAGATAGTTGTATCTTGGTCAAGCAAACATCATAAACCACAAGCACAAGAACGAGACGGAAATACTGCTTAAAGGACATAGCTTTTGCGCTAGCTTCTATCTATAATTCAACCAAGTTAGTATCAATTTAGTTACTGTATTTATTTCTGCTATTTCATTCTGTATTGCAAGTATACTTCGTTAATAATGAATTAGTATTTCAATTTCTGTTATTTAATTTATTTTCTAAATTGGTCTCCAACATAATATTTTTTCGATGTTAAGGAGACTACATCTTAGCAGACTATATTGTAGCAACTCTCGAAACCAACATAAGTTGGTCTCACCCTTATTAGAAAAACTGGTATAATATAGTATACTAAAATGTGGTCTTCTAGCATTCTCCTTATAGAAACAACATAAGCGGAACGATCAAAAGAGTTTGGTACAATATGATCTACCAATATATGATCTCCCTAACAATTTTTCTTTGTAAACCACGTAAACGGAATGAAAGCCACCCATCACAGTCGCCGTATTTCTGTACACATGATTCTTGCTTATTGATCATCACTTAACACTGCCCATCCATTTGAACTTGGCGATATTTTTCTTTAAAAATATCTCCATCTTCTTCAAACTATGTTTTTTTTTTCTTTTAAAGTACAGAGTAAACCTTACAAAATGTGTATACTCCGATTCTAACCTCTATATATATGCATATTCTTTTTAAAGTAAGTTGATTTGATAGTTTAAGTGCTTCATTACATTGCAAGGGATGGCATTGTTAAGTATTGAAATTGTAAAGCAAATATCAACTTCTCGTTTGACATTAAAATAGATATGTTGCACCAATATAGAAAAACCCTTAGGTCAACTTTAATGGAGTGCCAAATGGCCCAAAACGGCCCATTTCTACCCAAAACAAATCTCCAATGGAGGGCCGAAAAGAATCTCCAAGAAAAATTCCAAGACCAATTCCTAAGAGCTTTGCCAACTGTAGCCACGTTTGTAGGGACGGGCTAGCACTAATCTATGCATGGGCTACGCCACGTTCAATCTGGTTGGGCTGGTGCGAAGGCTCTGCTTTAGTGTAGCGCGGTATGATGCACCTGCAACAATTAATCCACATGATGCAAAACATGTTGGAAATTGGAGGGCCAGATCAAGCGGCTGCCATTTCAAGTCATAAAAGCATTTCAATTTATCTGTCAAGCTTTTTTAGGATGAAAGCTATGCACATTGAATAATTGTCAAATAGACAAATAATCAGTTCACAATAATTCCAGTCCAATTGAACAAAAAATTCAAACATATTCGATACCTGCAATTTCTCACCAACCAGATGAGGAGGCGAGGAGGGCTAGAGAGGCTGCGTATGATGGTGGTTTAATTGGGCCATGAGGTGTGATTGCCGAGGGAGCAGAGAATGTAGTCCTTAATTCTATGCCGGAGGAGGATGCGTGACTTAATTTTGTTCATGTATCACAGGAGAATGGACGAGAAATTGACTTAAATGTCATGGTGCAACATGGGGAGGAGAGTGTTGGTGACATGGTTGGTATGGCAGATGGGCTGGAGGCGCACGGTGAGGGTGGGGTTGTGGTAAGAGAAAATGGTGGGAAGGAGGATGATCCTTTTGACTTGATACCCATTATTGAGTCCGTGATGAGGGAACAGAAAGGTAGGAAGAGGTCCATTTGGGAAGTGGAGTATGCGAAGCCAATGGAATACTTTGAACCTACAGCTAGTCGACAAAAGAAGGTGTTTTTTCTGAGGTGGAGGAGACCAGCCTTAAGGGGTCTCCTAAATCCCCATGAAGCTAATCTATTGGAACTGTTAGGGTATCGAGGGCGACCTGACAATTGACGATCTATTGGAGTAGAATAGGCTCCATACCCCCGACATAGTGGTTCTTCTAGAGATAAAAAATAGAAGTTCTCGGTTATTTGAAGAGGAGTTGGGATGGATTTCATGCATACGGTGGAACCACGGGGAATTGAGGGTGGTATGTGTATTTTTTGGAGGAGTTATGATCACATATTACTTGTTAAGTATGTGGATTTCTTCATTGAAGTTGGCATTTATGATGGGAACAAAAATGTGCAGTGGAGGTTATTTGCGGTCCATGTCCATGCAAGTACGAATGATAATAAAAGAAAGGAGCAGTGGAAGGTGTTGTCTCATGGGATTGAGGCGACGGGTAATAGGTGTTTGCTTATTGGTGATTTTAATGATATTTTAGAAGATACAAAGAAGGAAGGAGGTAACTATAGATCTGTGGCAAGTATAAGGGATTTTAATGAGTTTATTGTGAGTAATGGACTATTGGATTTGGGTTTTGTCAGCTATCCATTTACGTGGAGGAACCGAAGAGATGAAGGGCCCATACAACAACGGTTGGATTGAGATTTGGCGTTAAGTGGATTGGTTGATATGTATCATGAGGCGACAGTCATGCACGAGGTATTGGAAGGGTCCGACCATGCTATGCTTATTTTGGGTACGAATGTTGCACCTCTTAGTAGGAGGTGGCGATTTATTTATGATGCCAGATGGAATAAAGTAGATGAGTGTCATGATATAGTGGCAACAAGCTGGAGGCGTGGGGTTATGGGCTCCTATGCTTTCTGGGTTGTGGAGAAGCTCAAGGGGGTACGGTATGGGTTACAGAACTGGAGAAGATTTAAGGGGTGTAACTCAAAGGCTTGTATCGATGCTTTGAAAAGAGAGTTAAGGTTGGCTTATAAATCACCTATTTTTGCAAGTGATGATATTCGGCGGAAGGAAGGTGAGCTCAAACGGATGATTAAGGAGGAAGAGGCGTATTGGAAGCAAAAATCCCAAGTTCAGTGGATTCGAGAGGGGGATAAAAAATACTAAGTTCTTTCATGCTTAAACAATGAAATGGCGTCGATGTAATAAGATTATGGGATTGGAAAATGCTCAAGGGGTATGGTGTACTAAACCGAGTCAAGTGGATGCGATTGCAGTGAGTTATTTTCAAAGCCTCTTTCTTACTTGTAATCCAATACGGGTTCCGGAGATAACAGAGTGTGTAAAGGATAGGATTTCGGTGGAGGACACAAGGGGTTTAATGCAGCCAGTAACAGAGGAAGAGGTGCACCATACTATATTCCAAATCCCTGCTGATAAGTCTTCTGGACCGGATAGGTTTACTGGGAGATTATATCATCAATATTGGGATGTGGTGGGTAAGGATATTGTGAAGATGGTTCAGGCGTTTTGGTTTTCTGGTAAACTTCTGCGGAAGTTGAACCATACTCATCTTGTCCTTATCCCCAAGATGGCTAGCCCTCGGACAATGGCTCAATTAGGGCCAATTTCTTTGTGTAACGTGGCATATAAGGTGATTGGTAAACTTTTGACTAATAGAATGAAGTAGGTTATGCCACATATCATTAGTTCAAATCAATCAGCTTTCATGGCGGGGAGACAGATTCACGATAATGTACTGGTGGTGCATGAGGTTTTGCATTCTTTGAGTCATCAAAGGGATAGGAATGAGGCTTCGATGGCGATGAAACTAGATATAGCAAAGGCTTATGATCGTGTTGAATGGCGTTTTTTGCTGGCAATGATGAAAGCTTTGGGTTTCCCTTAGGGATTTTGCCGTCTAATTGCAGAGTGTATAACTACAGTTATGTATAGTGTACTGATTAATGAGGTGTTTATGGGGTTTATTCAACCTCAAAGAGGGTTGAGGCAAGGTGACCCAATGTCGCCTTTTCTTTTTCTAATTTGTGCCAAAGGGTTCTCGGCATTGCTACATATGAGGGAGGAACATGGTTCTATTCATGGTGTGAGGGTGGCGCCTGGTAGGGTTGCATTAACCCACTTATTTTTTGCCGATGACGCTGTTATTTTTTGTAAGGCTAAAGATGAGGAGGTTCTCTTGGTTATAGATGTGCTAAAGTGTTATGCGGATGCTTCCAGCCAAGTTATTAATAGAGATAAGAGCTCCTTGTATTTTGGGGCTAATTTTTCGAGGCAACGACGGAAGCAAATTGCCTCGTGTACTAATATTATGGGTCGAGATGATTTTGGCAAGTATTTGGGGATAATAGCTGACTTTAGATCTTTAAAGAAGGCGGTTTTTTAGGAGGTGCGTGAGGCTTTGGAGGGACGAATCAATGGATGAGCTGAACAATCTCTATTCCCCGTAGGTAGAGAGGTTCTTATTAAATCAGTAGCTATGGCATTACTAAATTATGCGATGTCGTGCTTTAAGCTTCCAGTTGGCCTTTGTAAGGAGCTGGAAGCGGTCATTGCTAAGTTTTGGTAGATAAGGAATAAGGATAAGGGCGGTATACATTGGATTTCTTGGCAAAAAATGAAACGGAGGAAGAAGGCTAGAGGGTTTGGGTTTAGAGATTTATTGTTGTTTAACTTGGCTTATTTAGCTAAGATTGGCTAGCGAATTTTACGTAACCCGAAGTCGTTGTTGGGAAGCATTCTTAAAGCCAAGTATTTCCCGGATCAGCCATTTATGGAGGCTAGGCAAGGGATGAGATCTTCATGGGGGTGGAAGGGTATTATCCAGGGGTGGAAGATAAGCATCAATATTTACTTCATGGGGGTGGAAGGGTATTATCCAGGGGTGGAAGATAAGCATCAATATTTATAACGATCCTTGGTTGCCAGGGCCTCATACATATAAGGTCAGGTCAAAACATGTGGATAGGCCTGTGATAGGGGATGCTTTGATTGATTCAGAGTGAGCTGTTTGAAGGGAAGATCTTATACGAAGGGTCTTTGAGGAAAAAAAAGGTAATATTATTCTTAGGCTACCTAAGTTTATTGGGGTGTTCAAACAAACTTATTTGGCATTATTTTACTAATGGTGTCTATACGGTTCGAACGGGTTATGGTGTTCCATGGAGATGAGGGAGAATGGAAAGCTTGGGAGGAAAGAGATAGGGGGAAGGAGTAAGCGTGATGTGGGGTGATCGCAGCTGGGGGGATTTATGGAGGTTAGAGGTTCCTAATAAGTTAAAGTTGTTTATATGGCAGTGTTGTAACCATTCATTGGAGGTGCGATGTAATCTGATTAAACGTCGTATGCAAATGGATAGCAAATGTGTTATGTGTGGTGAAGCGGAGGAAATGAAGCATCACCTGTTTTTTCAATGTCCGTTTAGTCAGGTGTTTTGGTACTGTTGTTTTTTGCAACTCGATATGGCATCAGTGGTTGGTAGAGATTTCTATGAGTATTGACAGATGCTTTGTGGTAAGTTTTGGGACAACGATCGACGAATGGAGCTGTTGCAGGCGTGTGTGTTTGTCATCTGGAGGATATGGAAGAACAGGAATAAAATGGTTTTTAATGGTGTTTTGGTTAATCCTTTAGAGATGGTGAATGTAATGCGACGTAGTCTTTTAGAGTTTAGAGCTAGGTTAGGCAGCAAGAGGAGTGATGAGGGCGATGGTGCAGAAGGGAGTGGTGTTAGCGTTGCTGGGAAGCGTGTTCGATGGATGAGTCCTCCTTTTAGGGTACTGAAGATCAATTGTGATGGTGCATAGAGCGGGAAGAGCAAAGGTGGTTATGGGTGGGTGCTAAGGGATTTTGCTGGGTTGTTGCAAACGACTAGAGGGGAAGGGGGTTTGTTTTTTAACTTGGCAGTAATGGCTGAAGTTCCTACGATCCGAGCTGCTTTATGGGTTTGTATTGAGTTAGGCTGTATGGATGTGGAGCTTGAATCGGATTCTCAAGTTCTTATTCGAATGATTAGGGGAGAGTATGATATCGATGCTACTTTGGACTGCTTTATTCATGATATTTGACTTCTGGTATCGCAATTAGGAAGGGTGAGGTTTGGGTTTGTTAAGCGGAGTGGCAATACCGATGCACATGTCGTTGCCTCTTATGTAGCCTCACATGGAGGTGCTTTGCGGTGGGATGCGATTGGTCCAGAGTTCTTATTTAATATTCTTGCTCAAGATGTAAATGTTTCCGTTAGAATTTAATACAGTTTATCTTTGACAAAAAAAAACTATAAATTATATATTTTTAATCGGTTATTAGTCATATTAACTGATGAAAAATCATGTTATATTATGTTTTTATGTATCTTTGTGTTATATTATTCCACACAAAGTTTATGTGGCGCATGCCTAGTAACTAATGAGCTAACTACGTCTTTTTGTGTGGATATAGGTGTGCCAACTCATGACAGAGCTCAATCGGGCTAGTAGAAAAGATATGATGATGGTGGTGCTTGACTTTGTACATCCTAATCAACAATGGCCGAGGAAAGAACACACCTTGGCCTGGCTTCTAGAACCTAAAGACAAGGTTACCTAATTCACTGTGAAGTTTAGGATCTTATGCACTGAGTTTGGCTGTTTCAACTATATTTGTGAGAATAGAGTGCGCCAAACCAGTAGTAGGTTAAGGGGCAAAGGTACCCAAAGGAGATGAGTATTTTTATAATGAACGTGGTTGGCCTTCAAAATGCTGAACTATGAAGTGCACCTGAGAGTAACCGATCATAGAGTACTTCACTTTGCCAAGCAACTAATGAAGTGACCACTTTAGACCAAAGAATTGAGAACTCTTCACATACCAAGACTTGGATAGATAACCAACTAACCAAAAGCAGTATTGTACTTGTCCAAAATAAAGGTGTTCCTGAATCGTCTGGTTGTACGGCTCTAGTCCTATTTACTTATCCACACGGAAGATGCCTCCAATTGTCAAAATTACTTATCCATACTGAATGTGTGTTGATGGGAGGGTTATGATAATTAGTATTTTCTCAAGGGTGTGAGAAATGTTTCGTGTAGAGCGAAGGTTTTCACATGGAGAATTTTTTAGTTGTTTGTTGAGTTGAAGAGAGCTTCACATTGCAGAATCTCTTCTATTTATAAAGATGTGCTTCGTAATAAACAAATATGTCGATGCAGAGTCTTGATGAGGCTGTGCCTACTCGGAATTTACCTAGATATTCCCTTTTTAGCATTTCCTTAGCCCAAATTCAATATCTATCCAGTCTCAACTTATTCGACTTTAATCAGGATTATAAACCTAGTCCCTTCAAATGGTCAAATATAAATTCTGATCCTTAGAATAATTCGATTCTTACTAGAACCTACTATCATTAACAATTTTACTTTGCTTAGGACTCGACCAAGCCACGGTTGAACCTGATCCTTAAAAGTACAACTCCTTTTGGGAGTCGGTCGAATCATTCTTGAGTTTGATCCCTTAATAGTCCTAGTCCTACAAGGAGTCGGTCGAATCAATGCTCTTTTGGACTAAGAGTCAACTGGCCTGCAGAATCATTACTAGACGGAGAATCATGGCCTCTCAAATCATGTTAATTTTTTCTCAGTCTAAACCTTTATTTCAGGCACAAACAGATGGTTACCTAGAATCCTAGGAGTGCAACCTAGAAAGTTATGTTCTGTATCGCAAAACAACTAGGTTATTTGTAATGTTTTCAATCTGAATCAAGTACATACGTAACTCAAATGAACTATTTATGATTAAGAATCTAGGAAAGAATGGCAAATAGGAAATAACATCAAACTACTCTGAAATATAAAATGAGCAGTTTAGATTAATTATTTTAATGAGCACTAAGTAAAGGAAGATGTGCATGTTCCATAAACGAGAGCTATGGCTTTGTAAGCATCCGGGGTCAAAACCCCCGTTTTCCAGTAAACTAATGTTAATGTTTGTTTTCAAATTTTTATGGTTGAAAGTAGAATCAAGCTTTTGGATTGGTTTCGTGTTTTAGTTTTACTTTTGTTTTAAGGAGGATGTACATAGCTAGGTAGCTACCTCATAACTCATAACTTTGTTATCACTTGAATTTTAAGGATAATGTTTTGACCATTTCTCACAACCCATCTCATTCTTTGAGGAGTATATTTCTAGAGGAAAGGATTTCTTTCTAGGCCAAAGAATGGGTTTGCCGTATTTTAGTGGTAAGTAAGTGCTCATCTCTCAAATATGTTTGTTCCACAACTTGCACCCACCAAATTATTCATTCGTCAGCACCTTCCAAGCAAGCTAGAACAAAGAAGTATTGTTAAAATGCTCAACGCCTCTAATCCTCAGCCTTCCTATAGATTTGGGTAAGCAAACATCTCTTCAGATTTAGGTCCTTGATCTTTACCCCCTAAACTAAAGAGTATGAGAGGATCTCCAAGAAAGTTCACAAAACTATATTTGAAGTGCGGTGTAGGACTTCTTGTGCTCCAACAAAGTTGTCAAATGAGTACTCAAATTTAGAAATTGTCCTACACTCTATATTTACAGACTCTCTATCTCACTCTTCAAACATTCTTGGCTAAATAGTCAAAATGGTCCTTGAGATTTGCATAACTCATCACTTTGGTCCATAACATTTCAAATCAATAAAAGTGGTTCCTGAGATTGTCCATCATCCATTATTTTAGTCATTCCGTTAAAAACTTCGTTAAGTGTCCCGGAGCTCTTGGCAATTTTTAATGTTTCGTAACTCAATCATTTCTTAACCAAATTCGACCCATAATATATCAAAATGAAGATACAAAAGTATAGAATAAGATTATACCTATTTGGAAGCCCAATGACTGCTGGAGATAGCAGAAAAATAGCCTCAAAGTTGACTGGTCTGAAGGAAAACTGAAAAACTCGTTGGAAACTGGGTAAACTTTAAACGTTCATAAATTCTTCAATACTCAACGAAATCAAGTGATTCAAAAACTAAAATCATAATTCTCAACGAGACAAAGAGAATAGAACTTTTTTCGATGGCTAAATCGCCGTGGTTAGGCTAGAAAACGGCTCGAAAGTGGCTGTCTTGGTCTCGAGTTACCCACTTTCGAGCCGTTTTACGGCCAAACCATGGCGATTTAGCCATTGAAAAAAGTTCTATTCTCTTTGTCTCATCAAGAAGTATGATTTTAATATTTTCAATCACTTGATTTCGTTGAGTATTGAAGAAGTTATGAACGTTTCAACTTTACCCAGTTTCCAACGAGTTTTCCAGTTTCCCTCGAACCAGTCAACTTTGAGGCTATTTTCCGGTCATCTCAAGTAGCCATTGGGCTTCCAAATAGGTATAATCTTATTCTACAATTTCCTATCTTCATTATGATATATTATGGGTCGAATTTGGTAAAGAAACGATTGAGTTACGAAGCTTTGAAAATTGCCCAAACTTCCGACCAAGAGCTCCGGGACACTTAACAGAGTTTTTAACGGAATGACCAAAATGATGGATGGTGGACAATCTCAGGGACCACTTTTATGATAATGTGTCTATGTTAAATTTTTTCCAAAAATTGAAATACTAAAATAAAGTCATATGATGGAAAGTAATAAAAAAATACTAAGATTTGTGGAGTTTGTTGTAGTTATGACAATTCAAATCGTAAAACCTGATAACTATGGATAACCGCTCAAATGGAATGGATTTGGAGATGAAAATTTGGTTATATTTTGGATATGGGGAAAAACTCAAAATATAATTCAGTTGTGGTTTTGAATATGGTTATAGGAGTTCATGATCTGTATCCATCTCCGAATCCGACCCAAATAATATATATAGACATCCCATTACCTTGAAAATTACAAAAGTTGCATTTTGTGAAAATGTTCAAAAGTTTTGCATAAAACCAATGTGAATTCAATGGTGCTTATAGGAGACATCAAACATAAGCCAACTCATCAATGTACCTATTATATTATAATGATGAAATTAGTATCTATTATATTATAATGCGTCAATTGGATGAATATATTTTTTGTATTGACGAAGATGGATATAACCGGTATCTAATTGGTATGGTTATGGATAATCCCCGATGGTTATTTTGCAGTTATGTATACGATTAATTTTCCTAGTTATGAGGATAGATATAACATTTCTATCCCTAAACCGAACTGTTGCCATTCCTGGTCAGTTGGATTTTAGTTTTCAAACTACCATGTGGATCAACAAACTTGCATTTCTGTCCCTAAACCGAACTGTTGGAGATGTTTTGAATGAAGTAAAAAAATTGTAGGGAGCTTCTATAGCAACATTTTAGTCTTTTAGTTAAAATTTAACTACAAATAGAAAGCATAATTAGAGATGCTTAAGTATATTATGACTCCAAAACTGGAACAACCAATTAAAGATAAAGAGACTTCAACTCTCATTAGCCCTTAAAAAGTTTTGCAATTTCTCTTTGTTGAAAACACAAACACAGGAAACCTAACCCACTGGCCCTAACCTTTGGCTTGAGGCCCAGTGACAACCCTCTTTCTTTCTCCTCCTACTTTCCTTCTCTTTTTTCCTTTCTATCTCTTTTTAGTTTTCTTCCGGGTTTTCTCTTAGTTTTCCTTGAGCTTAGTCTCCAATTTTCCCATGAGCTTGTCTTAGATCTAGGCTTCATGCCCTTTCTTCGGCGTTCATTGTCGTTTCTCTGGCACTTTTCGTCTGATTCCCACCTTCCTTCTACTCTGGTTGTGTATCTTCAAACCCAAACTTCCATCCCCCCTTCAAAATCCTGTTGTCGTGCTCTTCTGGTTGCCAGTTTGTTATTTTTGTACAATGTCTTGGTCGAATTGACCACTCGATCATTTTCTCTAGTGTTTCTACCTTGGTGGCTGTTGGCAAGACGTTCGTGGCGGTGGCGACAGTAACCACTCTATGTGTTTAAAGGATAGGGATTAAGATTTTAGTTTTGTTTGTTTTCACTTTAGGCTGGGCTTTTGTGTTTATGATTTCTCTCCCAAATGTATGCTGGGTTATTCTGTCTTCCTATGGGTAGCTCTGTAACCTCTTTTCTTACACAATGAAATGTTTCTTTTCGACCAAAAAAAAGGATAAAGAAAATAATCTTAAGGATCAAATGTAGAGAAATAATGATCAATTCAAATTCTATCAATATAGATAGGTTTTTGGAAATTAACCTTGATGACAATGCAAAATCCTCATGAAACTTCGATATTTATTCAAGTAATCCTATACCATCACAATTTTTACCATTCTTGATGATATGTATACCGCCAAGTTCAAGTTCAGGCCTTAGGGTGGTTGCGGTGTGCCACATTAGAAAATTTTCCTAAGACCATCTCTAAAGGAAATGTCAAATTATAAGAGTCAAATTACAATTGATGGTTGATGTGGCAGTCTGAAGTTTTATGTCAAATTTTATACGATAAATTACACAAAACTATCTCAACTATAGGTTGCACCACAATTTCATACATCATGTTTTAAACATTGCAATGTCATATCTCAACTTATGAATTTGTTGCAATGGTAAACCTTCGTCAGTAATTCTATCAAATTGGCCGTTAAGTGATTTGGTAAATGAATGCCTCACATATTTGCTAACATGGCAATCCCCTTGTGCCATTAAAAAGAAATTTATAAAACATATCATTTAAAATAATAATTTTTTGTCAAAAATTAAATTAAAAAGAGTTGGCCTCAAACTGAATTGTCATATGTTATATTTGTATCATACTTGACCAATTCCCAAACTATCAAGCATTGGTCAACTTCATATCTTCAAAGACCCATTGAGGGGTTCATGCTGAGGCACCCTTGCCGAAGCAAGAGTTTCCCTCCACCCAAGAGGCTAATCATAGCACGACACTTGTCAACGTCAAAATAAAGCTCCATGAGTTCTACATCGACCACGGACGAAAGCCGGAGACTCTCCTCAACTATAAAAAGATGATCATTCTCCTACAATTAATAACCAATGTCATTACTATACTTAAACTCATCATTAGAACCCACTAATGATGATTATGCCTAAACCTATGTATTGTGTAAACTCTTCACTATTACTGAGAACTCTTCTACCTCGTGAATGTAGCCAAACTTAGGGTGAACCACGTACATCTTGTGTTTGCTTCCCTATCTCTATCCTTTTACATATTATCTTCACTAGGTGATCGAAGCAACCAGGTGAAGGTCACAAACTTTACATTTTTACGTTGTTCCAATGTCTCG